AGTCCCTGCAGCGGGGTGAAGTTCTCCTCCAGGAAGAGGTTCACAGGGAGGACACTGCCAGCACCACAACCCCCAGCCTGTTGCCCCGACAACTTGCACCAGAAGCAAGTCCAGGGTTGGTCAGCATAGAACACCCGGACATAAAACCCCATAAGCAGGACCGGCGACGGTATAAGGGAATTCAGGTGCATCGCCAACATGCGGGTCCCACTCAGAACACCCTTCCACCTCCCGGAGGAGATGATGTTCAACCGCACACTCAGCACCCGCCCAAACCGGGCAAAGTAACACCGCAGAAGATCCTCAGGGAGCTCAAACGAAGCCCCATGCACAACAACATATGTGGTCTCGCCGCATCGATCAGACACCAACACAGAACCACCACCCGCGGGCAGCGGGAAGGATCGCCCATCATAACGATCCACGAATCACCTGTCGACAGCCGTAGAGCCGAACTTCACCACAGCCGGTGACTGGCGACAAGCTGTACTCCAAAGACCTCCGCCATATTCACCCTCAAAGGGTTCAACAGCAGGGCACGACGCCTGTCCGGTGAATTACGAATCAATCGTATCCTTCCTTAGGACAGGGGGGGAACGGCACCCCCATATCACAGGCCAACAGCAACCCCCGCCAGGTGTTGCGTCAGTGGGTTGGGAAGTTGTCCCCCCAGCTGCGGTGGAAGGTGAAGGGGTGGGCGATGGTGCTGGTATTGAAAACTCAGTCCAGGTTGCACCCGTGTTGCGGCGCTCTGTTTCAGCCCCCGTGCAGGCGACTTCTGTGCACCCGACCTCTGTGTTGCAGCCCTTGACATTCAGCCAGTGGAGTCTTTGCCCCTCGCACAGCCGGCCTTTGTGTTGCCAGCCCCCATGCTGCGGTCCCTGGTGCAGTCGACTCGTGGCTTCCATGCGATCTTCTGTGCACCAGTCTTCCGTGATCCATCTGGATGTGCCCCTGCCCGCTCTGCCGTCGCCTTCTGTGCTGTTGCTCGCCGCCCTGACCACCATCCTCGTGCAACTGTTGTCAATGTGTTTAGTTTTTCTATGTTGTAGGTTTCATGTTATTCGTAGTTTCCATGAGATGGGTTAGTGTATTGTTTATTGTAATATATGTTGTGTATAATTTTGTTTTGTTGTGGCATTTTGGTGCCTTGTCTTTTATGTTTATTTATGTAATTTTGTTCTGTACCAATAAAAAAATAAAACAACCACGTTCTCACCTGTAGATCCCACCAACAGTCACGTTCACACCTGTAGACCCCACCAACAGTCACGTTCACACCTGTAGACTCCACCAACAGCCACGTCCACACCTGTAGACCCCACCAACAGCCACGTTCATGGAGGTGTTCGCCTAGCTCTGGGCGAAGGTGGACGTGTCGCCTGTGAGCTCCTGGTTTGCTGGCCCGTGGTAGTTTGTGTGTGTGAGCGGACCCTTGGGGCCGTGGCGGCTGGAGGGATGGCGGCCCCTTTCCCCCCTGTGAAGCGGAGAGATACCATTGGCCTAGAATTTACTGGCCCAGCGTCTTACCCGGCAGCTGAAGTGGTGATGATCTACATGTTGCGGGTGTATGTGGCGTCTGTGTGTGCGGCGTTCAACTTGTATCCGAGCATCGAGCTGTTGTGAAATTCTGCTCCACGGCTGTGTATCGTGTCTTTGTGGGCCGCTATGACGGGAGGACATTTACTCTGCCTGAGGGTGGTGGTTCGGTGGTAATGTCGGACAGGTGCAGTAAGACTACCTATGTGGCGGTTCATGGTGCTCCCTTTGAGTTCCCTGACTCTCTTCTGCAGCGTCATTTTACCCGGTATGGGCGGGTCTTGAGTGTCCGAATGAATGCAGTCTCCTCCGGGCGATGGAAGGGTATCCCGAATGGGACCCGCACTGTGGCGCTGCGCTTAAAGGACTCCATCCCTTCGTCCCTCCAGCTTCTGGGCTTCATGGTACGCGTGTTCTATGGGGGTCTGTTTCCGGTGCGGACTCTCGGGCCATCAGGCTGCGGGATGTGGTGCGAGCTGGGTCGGGCCTGTGAACCTCTTCAGGGAGGAGGACTTTCCCCTGTTGGCGGTCCCGGACCTGTCGGAAGGTGCTGCTGTGGACAGTGTTACTACCCAGTCCTCTGTTGCTCAGTTGCCGGTCTCTGATGTGGCTGTGGGTGTTGGAGTGGAAGGAAGTGCATCCCCGGCTCCCGCACCTCAGCCTCCCCTGCCTGCCTCGTCTCCAGTTGTGTCTCCTGTGGTGTGTGGTCTCGTGGCTCCGGACGTCGAGGCTGTGCCTTGGCCTGTACTGTCTCCGGCAGCTGTGTCTTCGACCCGTGTCGACGTGCACACTGTGATGTCTCCTGTGGTGTGTGGTCCTGTTCCCCGGGTTGTTGAGGCTGCAATGTCGAGTGATCGTGCGCTGTGGGGAGTTGCGCGGGCAACCAGCGGTTCTGCTACGGTGCTTCCTAGTGGAGGTGATAGTTCCGACGATCTGCGACCTGTGTCCAAGCGTTCGCGACGAGCTTTGAGTCTGTCTCCGCCTCGTAATGCGGCCTGGGCCGACGTCGGGGAATTTGAGGACTCCGGGAGTTCGTCTTCTGGGGATGGTGATGTGTGCGACGCTGTTGAAGTGCCTGCGACTCCTGTGGGTCGTGTTGCAGCAGTGATGGGTCCTGTGGTGGGATTGTCGCCTGGCCCTGGTCCGGTGTCTTCTCCGGCTGCCTCCGCGTCACCGGATACTGGTTCCCCGGGTTGGGAGGTTGTGGCACTGGCCGAGATTGCGAGAGAGGGTAGGGGCTTGGTGCCGGTTCTTACAAATGCTTCTGTTCCGGCGGCCTCCGTGCCTCTGGCGTCCATGTCTGTGCCTTCCACGCCTTTGCCCTCTGCTCAGTCATCCTTTGTTACTCCGTCCCCTGTGGTGTCGGCCCCTGCACCATCGCCCTCTGTGCTTGCGTCCCCTGCGACTCCGCCCGCTCAGTTGCCGGCCTGTGTCCAGGCGACTCCTGTGCTTCAGTCCCGTGTGGTTCCACCGTCTGTATCAAAGCCCTCTGTGCGGCCTCTTCCCGTGCCTACCGCCCCCGTGGTGGAGGGAGCCGAGCTGGAGGTTCCTGACTTCATGCGTCGACCACGAGGGTTACGTAGTCACGTTAACGCGCCTATGGAAATGTGGGCACAGTGGGATGCCTATCGGAAGAAGTACCCGATTCGTTACTATCCGGATAAATATGAAGATTGACTGTGTGTGTGGTTCTTGCTTTGTGTTGCTTCTTTCTTTCGTTGGTTTGTTGAGCTATGTGTTACGGGCTCCTTTTTTTTCCCCTTGTTTTCTTACCTAGTTCTTGCTGGGTTATAATGCTCTAGTGTTTTTTCTTTTTTTTTTACGCTTTCATTGTTACTTATGTGTAAGATTCCATTTTTGTTTATGCTTATTTACGATTTGTTCTCTTATCTGTGTCCTATTTGCTGTGTTATATGTTCCGATGTTGGTTTGTGCTATACCGATTCTTTATTTTTTATTTGATAATTTACTATGTCATGCAAATGTGTTCTGTTTCCTTTGTTCTATGTACTGTGCTGTGTATTGCTTTGTTGTATTCCCTTGTTAATTTCCTGCATTTTCTTTACTATGTTGTATTTACAGTATTGTATTACCATGTTCTGTTATTGTGTTCTCGATTCTGTGGTGTCTTGTGTAATTTTGTATGTGTATTCCTTGTTTCTATTTTACCTCTGGTTTTATTGTGCTCCTTGTGTGTTATTGTACTTACTGACGCTTTTGGCACGCCCCGTCTGGGTAGTGCTGCTTTTGTTTTTGTGTGTATGTGTTCTTATGAGTTTTATGTTATTCTTTGTTTTCACTTTTGTGTTATGGTGATCTGTGTTCCTTGTTATCTGTGTTGTTGTTATTCTGTGTTATTTGTTACTCTGCTTTCCTGTTTATATGGTTACTGTATGTTGTAATTGCTCTGTTTTAATAATAAAAAGAAAAAAAAACAGCCACGTTCACACCTGTAGACCCCACCAACAGCTACGTTCACACGTGTAGACCCCACCAACAGCCACGTTCACACCTGTAGACCCCACCAACAGCCACGTTCACACCTGTAGATCCCACCAACAGCCACGTTCACACCTGTAGACCCCACCAACAGCCACGTTCACACCTGTAGACCCCACCAACAGCCACGTTCACACCTGTAGACCCCACCAACAGCCACGTTCACACCTGTAGACCCCACCAACAGTCACGTTCACACCTGTAGACCCCACCAACAGCCACGTTCACACGTGTAGACCCCACCAACAGCCACGTTCACACCTGTAGACCCCACCAACAGCCACGTTCACACCTGTAGATCCCACCAACAGCCACGTTCACACCTGTAGACCCCACCAACAGCCACGTTCACACCTGTAGACCCCACCAACAGTCACGTTCACACCTGTAGACCCCACCAACAGCAACGTTCACACCTGTAGACCCCACCAACAGCCACGTTCACACCTGTAGACCCCACCAACAGCCACGTTCACACTTGTGGAGTCCTACACAAAATAGATATAGCCAGCAAAATTGACAGTAGCCATTGGTGTAACAAATACACACATATATATGTCACTCGCCCTGCACTGTTAATCTCAGTTAAAACTGCGTGTATATGACAACAGCAGACATTGGGTTCAACACACTCATAACGGGTTCATATTTTGTTAGAGTACCATACAGTATATTAGTTCCATGCAACCCTTGTAATATTTAGTCCATAGATCTGCGGTTGAGGAAACACTGTCCTAGACGACCCAAGGACCACCTGTCCCACTGGGTGTTGGGGCGTGTGTGGGAAGACTGTGCTAAGCCACTGAGTGTCACTTACGGGTCCATAATGGTCACTTTGCCTCGTTCTCACCGGCAGTTAGGTTCTGTTGTGCCACAATAAATATACTAACTACTAATACGATGTTAACTTTAGGGAAACAAAGAGTGTTAGAGGATTACGAGTGAGTGTGTAAATACTGGGGTAAAGAAGGGGTGTATTATGAGAGGCAGCGACCATGAGGAGGGTGTGAGGGAGGTGTTGAGGCGGGCAGGTGGGGCCCAGCTCCTCACTCTCCTCCTCGCCTTCACTCCAGTAACATCGTCTGTCCTCGTCTTTGAAGGTATTAAGTTAATGGTCTTGACTTTTTATTTCGGTAGTTTATCAGTGAGTTAAGTGTTTTATTTTTGCACGTTATTTGCTCAAAATTGTGATGGATTTGTTTGGTTAGCATGTAATATTTATTAACTTTTTAAATTCATTTAAACTTCATATTTAAAGTGCTACGTGCAGCCTTAAAACGTCTTACTCTTTTATTTTTAATTATTAAACTAATCTTCCCGTGAGTACCTAAACACGCTCTAAAAGGTGGTATTGGTGCCGACCCTTGAAGGCCGGGTGAGTTAGTCTGGCCATCTTCCAGGCAATATGTAAAGCAGAATACTACGAAACTACTTTTACTACAGGTACTTTGATGTCTAGTTGTAGAAACACTTCATGTTCGAACTCCTATGACAATGGAGTTTGCCTTCCTACATACCTCCAACGTTGCCTTGAGGTGGCTTGGTGCATGTGGCAGGGGTGATAACTATACCCCCCTTTCAACTCTAAAATAACAATAGTTCCGTGAGGAAAGCAATTGCCCCTTGGAGTCTAGCTTCCAGTCTTTGAAGCATGTCGATTAAATTTCACTACTAAAATGCTATCGGAAACATTAATTGCTTCCCTTTACCTAAAATAGTCTTGCCTTCAAATTTCTTTAAATTGTATTAGTAACTTATTTTGTTAGATAACTCTAATGTAATACTATGACAATCATTCTAGTGTTTGCTTTTCAACTAGACCTCAACCATTTAGAGCTGTAATCCTAACACTGACAAGTATAAAATTGCCTAAATAAGCGTTCCCTAGATATTAGACCGGCAAGAATGTCTGAAACGCTGGTAAAAAGTAATTGCGTTAAATCGGAAACAGTCGGCGACTGGGAACCATTACTTTCCTAGATATTATACCAAACTTCTGTACTCGTGCCTTCAAAGGGCTATAGCTGTGATGGTTTGCCACTTATTTCTGAAGATTGCCATGTCGTAGACATAATTCACTAAATTTTAATAATAAAAAAAATAGCTTCCCCCCCCCTTTTTATTAACTTGGTTTAAGTAATCCTAAAGATATAACACGACTAAAAATGTCTAAAGTTTAAGTTGTCTTCAGAATCTGACTTCATCATTTGTTCGGAACGGGTATGTTATGTTCTTAAAATGTCTACATATTGCAGATGCGGTGTTCTATTCCAATATTGGTGGCCTCTATCTTCTATGTGGCCGGTGTGACGAGCCAGTACCAACCATTACAGGCATAGTTAACCTCTCGCTGTTTTATTCTAAACATTTTTTCTTAAATTTTTGACTAAAAAAAAAAAAAAAAACTTGCTATAATTTCTTTTCAAAGTAACTCTAAGTGTAACTATACTTTTAAATGTTTTAATAAATGCAATTTTCTTACATTTTAACTTTGCAGACCCTGGGTGTCCCAAAGTCCTCTAGTACTTCACCTGCTTTTGACGGTATTCCCAGGGATATTAGTCAACCACTTCCTGGATTAATTGAAGCAATCGGGAGCCTGCCGACTAGCGCTCAACCTATCGCAGCTAAAGACGCCTTTATCCTCCAGGGCCCTGCCAGCGGCCTCTTGCCCGACGCAGGCCAACACAGAGCAAGTTTTGCTGATGGACGTTATTTTCCCCAAGACTTTCACAGTGATGTAGCTCCCGGTCTTAATGTCGGCCGGGGTGTCTTCGGTGGTCCCGGTCCTAATGTCGGCCAGGGTGTCTTCGGTGGTCCCGGTCCTAATGTCGGCCAGGGTGTCTTCGGTGGTCCCGGTCCTAATGTCGGCCAGGGTGTCTTCGGTGGTCCCGGTCCTAATGTCGGCCAGGGTGTCTTCGGTGGTCCCGGTCCTAATGTCGGCCAGGGTGTCTTCGGTGGTCCCGGTCCTAATGTCGGCCAGGGTGTCTTCGGTGGTACCGGTCCTAATGTCGGCCAGGGTGTCTTTGGTGGTCCCGGTCCTAATGTCGACCAGGGTGTCTTCGGTGGTCCCGGTCCTAATGTCGGCCAGGGCGTCGGTAGTGGTCCCGCTACCATATTCAGCGGTGGCAGGTTGGACCAGGTGACCGTCCCGCGGGTAGCAGTGGGCAGCACTGGAAGTGTTGTCAGACCTGTTGGTGTCCCTCAGGTCAGGAGGGTGGACGATGTCTTCCACCCCACTGTCACCCAAGTTGTCACCGTCGACCGTTGCGTCACTGTCACCGACCAAGCCTTCAACAGCGTGGCAGTAACTCTAACTTCCTTCAGCGTGCAGACTGTCACCGTCGGAACACGCTCAGTAAGTTTACAGTAGCGGTGCCATATTAAGATAATAACGTACGCATAATCTTCCAGCTTATAACCTTCCTTCTACAACACAGGTGCTACACACTCCCGTTGATGACCGGGTCGCTCTCCAGACGTCTGTCTTTGTCCGGCCAACGTCCGTAACGTTAACGGAAGTGAAGTCTGACTTCAGGATCGTGACAGAAACATCACTAAGTTACGTGACCCTCGCTCACACGTCCTACATAATCAGCCAGTACACCTACACCACTCCGGCCACCCAGGTGTAAGTATAGAATACAGTGTGTGGGGGGGGGGGCGTGTTTGTAACATTACCTCGTGTTAATGACTTGTATTCTGTCTTGCAGGTTGACGTACACAGCGACGGTGGTACACACGAATATTAACACCAAGAGCACCACCTTCACCAACTACCGGACAGTGACGGACACTGTGTACGTTAACAGCGGCTACGGCTACCGTCCTCAATAAATGACTCTTAATCTTGATACAAAACTCTTGCGTTGTTGTAAAAAATTTCTAGTAAACTTTACAAAAATATTTGGCTATTACTTAACTAATTTAGATAAGTTTTGGTTTAATGTAGTTAAACTCGTTATTGATAGTTTGAGGCTAGACCCCTACGGGCTCGCCATACGCCGTGCTGCTTGGAAGTTTTGTCAAGAGTAGCTGGATCTTAGTTTTGACAAAATAGTAAACTTGCCTTGGCAAGTTTTAACATGCTTTCTCGCTTGTATAGGCTTGGTCTTCTACTAGAAACCAAAGAATTTTTTTGGTAATTACTATATAAGGCTAGTAATGCAAAACCAGGCACCGTAGAACTCTTAAATGGTGCTTTTGAAGGCTGTGATCGTGCCTGCCACAAATGTTCCGGCCAGTTACAAAAAAATGAAGTTAATTTGTCACACTGTGCAGCCTGTCCTCCTAAACAAAGGCTAAAATCCATTTCACAGAGCCCCAGTTTATGAATGTTAAAAGGTAGTTACAAAGACTCGCAACTTATTATGCAAGCCGTCCTCGGACAAGCCATTCCACACAGCCGTCGACCCCAGAGACGCTTCATAAATTTTTAACGTGCTGTTCATTCCAAATAGGAAATTCTCAAATATAAATTAATATCTTGGCATACTGTGCATATTACTATTATAAAGGCATTGGTTAGGTGGTTTAGGTCCTGTTGGCGATTATTTGTAGTATGTTGAAGCATTTAGAGATTATATTTCGAAAAAAGTAATCGGCGAAGTGCTTGTTCCGGAAGTGTTCACATGTAATCATGTACAGTTTTGCATTCATAAACGGCTACATGGCTTTCCCGGCTTGTTGCCTTCTTTGATAATTACCTTTATTCGTAAACGGGGGTTTGGCTGGTGCATTGACTTCAGCCTTTTGAGGACGGGCTCCATTACGTCCTTAAAGCTTCCAGACCAAGTACTTTGCTGACGGCATTTGTTAGAAGCACAAAGATTTAAAAGCCTAGCCACCGTACTAAAGTTGAAAAATAATCTGAAAAGGAACCTAACCAGTGCATGAAAATTTAAATTTGAGAATTCCTAAAAAGAACGGCATGTTAAACATAATGCGGTATTTGGGTTGGACCGCTGGATAGATTTGGTCTGTTTGCAGAGGTGGTCATGAGTTTAAAACTTTTGCGGGAAAGGCGTGAAGAGGGGGGGGGGGGAAACATTTATTGGGTAGAGGCATTTTCCATTTATAATTAAAAGTAAATGTGGAAAGTTTTTTTTTTTTTTTTTGGGGGGGGGGGGGGGGCGCTTAAAGCAAACATCTCTTGCAAACTGCAAGAGACGTTTGCTTTAAATCAAATTGGTTCTCTAATTCATTTGACTTGCAAACGTCTTGTACTCGGCTAGTTGTTTGCGGGGGGCTGAGATTTGGCTCTGGTCTTGCCTTTAGACTGTCGGTAGACTATTTTAGAGATTCTAGAGCCTATTGGGATCTTGTCAACTCTGCACTTAAAACTCTGCATAGTCTGTCTCCACGACATCAGTCCAATGCATTCCATTTTAACTACAGGCACAAAAAACTTCTAATGTGGCTAAATTGGGTACAAAGCTTCAACTAGTATCGCCTTATTAATGTTACACCCATGCTAAAAGGTTTTTGTCCAGTCAATTCCCGAGAATTTTGTAGGTGATAATCTCTAATCTAGTTTTCCAAGGACTTTAGGTTTATCTCCCGTAGCCTTTCCTCGTACCTACCTGTTCTGGGACTAGTCTGGTGGCATACCTCAATCTTATGTTTGTCCCGTGTTTAACTATGTATAGACTCTAGACTGAGCTGCATACTCCAGTCAGACCAATCCTCGAGTGGTATGAGAAGTTCTGAATGACTATTTAAACGTTTCTTAAACCACGTATGTTGGCCAATCTAGCATAACCAGCTGATGTAATTTTGATGTGCGCTCCTGGGGATAGGTTTAGTGTGATATCAGCCCCCAGATCTATTTGACTTGCAGGATTTCGTCTCCCACATGGTACATAGTGTTCGGCCTCCTGCTCCCTTCACCTAATTTAATTACTTTCCAGTATTAAATTCATACTTGAATTTGACTTCCCTTATGTCTGACTTTTAACAGGTGAATATCTGTTAGTTTAGCTGGTTTGCCTCTCGTTATTGTGGGTCCCTTGACTTGTTGCCTGAGTTTCTTGCTGCCACATCAGAGTTTAGCTCTCCATGTATCTGCACCTCCAGGTCCTCCATTCGCAGTCTAATTCCGTAGTTGAAGTCGCTCATGAAGAGTCTGGATCCATTCCAGCAGGCAACTGGAGCTGCTCTTGTATAAATAGTTGCCATGTTTCTATCGAACTCCTGGGTCTTCTGTCATTTAATGGAGGGTTGTAAGTGACAATGGGGTGGACCTAAAACAATAGTAGCATAGTTTTTATATAGTTTCTGAAACATTCACATCCCGGGATAGCCATCTCTTCAAAATTCAAGTACTTATCAGCAGGGTTATTCTTCTCCCTTCCCACTTTGTTTACTATATAGTAGTCCTGCAGAAACACTGCATTTATGATGCCTAAATTTAGTTTCCAAGCCCTATTACATCTGGATTTTCTTCCTGCACCCTATCGGCCAGTTCACTATTGGTAATCCCATTGATGTTTGAGTAAATTACCTCGAAGCTCGCTTCCCTATATCCATTATCTCGCTCCCCACTGGTGTACTAAGCTGTTCCATGGGCAGGGGTATTTGGGTATGCTCTATGGTGCCTTCCTGGAACTGGAACCTTCTTGTTCCCTAATGCCTACCACGACTACAGATCTTTCTTTTTTTTCCCCCTTTCCATTAGCTGCCTGTAAAGTTACTTTCATTGCAACTTCCTTGACCGTGGACATGGCTTCTGGAGTCTTCCTCAGCATTTTACGAAAGGTTACCCCCCATTGTAGAGGTCCCTGCCATTGCTATATTACCTGCTACCTGCGGGGTTGATGGCCTGAAGTTGTATTTCCTCCTGCTCTGTTCCATCTATAGTTTAATTAAGGTTTCCCCTCATGTCTATCGATTCCCCACTGATTTCCCTCCATGCACGAGCGATCTCCTCCAGGGGAAAAAAATCGTGTCCCTTTCCTCCACCTGTGTTTTATTCTCCTACCATCATGATCCTTTTTCTGTTATGTAGGGTTAGTGGTGGACTTCAAGGGGTCAGAGATGGGGAGGAAGAAAATATAATGTAGAGAGGGAGACGGGGGAAGGAAGATAAGTTGATGCAGGGGGGGGGGAGGAGGAGTCGGGGACAAGTTGATGCAGGGGTAGGGGAGGAAGATACATAAATGAGAGGGGGAGTTGGGGACAAGTGGAGAAGAGCTGTGGAGGTTATGGTGTGCGGGCATGTGCGCAGGTGCAAGTTCGGTGCAGGTGCACTTGAATGCAAGTTTGGTGCACTTTTGTGCAAATTTGATGCAGGTGCACTTGGGTCGAGAGGGAGTACAGATGGCCACTAGCAGGCTCCTCAGTGTTACCAAACTGCCTATCTGGAATGAGCTGTGAAATTTTTAAATGGTGTTTTAAAAGTTATGTTAACTCTCCGTACACCAGATGACCTACAAAGAGGTATCCATCAGCCAACCTTCCCGCTCAGCACAAGCTAGTCTAGTAATAGAATGCTGTCGTTATGATGAGGTTGGTAGAAATCTTGCCCAGGTACTGTAGGTTTCCATGTAGTGGTTGACGTCTTTCCTGTCTGTCCAAGTGTCGGTCACTGCTGAATACTTTCACACGTTACCACACTTTGCAAGATTGTGGGTGCTTTAGTAATACTTAGTGTGGAATAGCATAATGAAGTAGTTATCAAAAGAAGGCACCAAGCCGGGGAGGCTATATAGCACCATTAAAAGTGCGAGATATTCAAGACGCTAAATATTACTAAGTATGCCAATACGAGTACAAGTTCATACTTGCAACATACACTTATATAAAAGTGTAGAAGGCGAATAACATCAAATGTATTCGATTCACCAAGGATACTATCGAGGGATAGGTGACCGCGAGGGACAGTCGGGAAGCAAGACCCACGAACATTCTGGAAGTCAGAACATTTAACAAGGATATGCACGACCGTAAGAGGGACAATACAATTTGGACAACAAGGAGGGGGCAGCGCTCCATTAAGTGCCTGTGAGTTAAGTGGGTCTGGCCGATACGTAACTTCGCTAGAGCCGTTTCTCACTGTCGGTTACGGTGATAGGAGGAAGGTAAGGTAATTATCAAAAGAAGGCACCAAACCGGGAAGGCTATGTAGCACCATCAAAGTGCGAAATAATCAGAAGGCGCTAAATATCACCAAGAAAGCCAATACGAGAACAACAACGCATAAGGCGAACAATATCAAAAGTATCCGATTCACCTAGAATTCTATCGAGGGACAAGTGACCGCGAGGGACGGTCGGAAAGCAAGACACACGCTCGTCTTGGAAGTCAGGACATTCAACAAGGATATGCACAACTGTAAGAGGGACAACGCAATTCGGACAATAAGGAGCAGGGCGGCGCTCCATTAAGTGACCGTGGGTTAAGCGAGTATGGCCAACCCGCAGCCGTGCCAAAGCAGTTTCCCACCGCCGGTTACGGTGGTAGGAGGAAGGCCATGGGGAGACAACACTTAAGAGCACGCAGCTTGTTAACAGTAACAGAAGATCAACGACCCTGCCAATGGGCAAGGATTGACGAATAACTGGATAGCAGTCTGAATAAGAAATACCTTTTCGGAAGATGGAACAGGTGCGGACAGCTTCCTTAGTGGCAGTGTCCGCACACTCATTTAAGGAAACCACCAATATGGCTGGGAACCCAGCAAAACACTATTGTCTTAAATCTGCTGGAGATAGTCAATATTGAAGTTCGATGACCACAGGATTATATGACTAGAGCTATGAGAGCACTGCTCAAGTCAACTACAACAACACGGGAAGAATTACAGTGAGAAAGCCGTTGACAAAAAGGCAAACAAAATTGCATTAAGTTCAGCCGTGAAGATGCTAGTCTCTTGTGGAAGGCAACACACAGTGTTGTGTTTCCTGACTGCACCCGAGTAGCCTACACTCGGCAGACCTAGACCCATCTAACGACGGAGATGGAGCGGGAGTGTGAAGAAAAGTGAGAAGGAAAAGGCGTTTCAGAACTGTAGGACAGGGTAATGACCTGCATGGCCAAGGCTAAGGTTCTACAAAACCTAGGAAGAGGGACCCTCCATGGGGGCAAGGACTGAACAACACGATGAGAAACATTGGCAACACGAACCGAGAGAGAAACTTGCAAGCGAAACAACCGTACAGAAAGGGAACAGGGCCCACAGGAGGAGTAATGGTCAAAGTACGACATAAGCAAGATAGTGTTAAAGGGACCACACAAAGTAGCGAGGAAAATAGCGATTACTGCGATCCTGTAGAGACGATGTGGGTCTCAACAAACACTGGATATGGTCAAACTAAAAGGCACCACTTCCGAAATAAAAACGGACGTCCTACTGCGACATTCTTCCAGGCTGCACGCTTACAGTAGTCTGCATTTCACCAGAAAATGTACTTTCACACACCCGAGGGTGTTGTGAGGAACAGAGCAGAGAGCAGCTTAAACTGTCATGAAAGAAGAGGGCTCAGAATGGCAGATCAGAAAGATTAGCACACAAGGTGAAGAGGTTCTAGTCAGTCCTGGCAAACTGCCACCGAGAGAAAGAGGGCAAAAAGAGAAGGATGGGGGGGGGGGGGGAAGTTCACTTATGTAGGTCATCAAAGAACCCACCAGGCAAAGTACAAATAAAAAGATAAGCAGAGAGAAAGATCAAAACAGGAAAGGGTGTGAGTGCGGGAATCTACATGAATTGGCTCGCCAGAATTCAGAAGAGACAAGAAGACAAAAGGTTCAAGGCAGTAACCCCTGGTGTTTGTCAGAACATCACCCCCAGAGGGTAATGCCAACAGTTAAATTCACCCAAAAGTAGAACAGGCTCGAGTAGGGAGTCCAACAGGTGTTCAAGATCAGGAAGAGAAAGTGGGACATTCGGGGAAGAGAAATGGAATAGACTGTATACCAGTTACAAATATATGGGCTGCAGAACAACGAATGGGCGGGACGAAGGAAATATCAAGATAAATCAAGAGCAAAAGAAACTTGAGCCCCAGCAAGAGCTGCAGGGGGAAGAGAAAGGACTAACCACGGAAGTGGCCAGGATGAGCACCAAGCATCGGGTCCTGGAGACAAACAAATCGGGGAAACTGCAATCACAAGTTGGAGTTCGTGGAGGTTGGCATAAAAAAAAAAACGAATATTCCATTGAAGAACAGATAACAAGGGAGAAACAAAGGCAAAGTGGAACACAGCAGACTAAGGAAGAACAAGATCAGGATCAGTGAAATCAGGGCGACGGGGCAGAGGTAAAGCCAGCAAAGATGTCAGACAAGGGAGCAGGAGGATGGACCAGAGGCAAATGGACAAAGTCCAGAGCAGGAGGCGGCAACGGAGACGGGCGGTCAAGGGAATTGGAGGCAGGAAGGACAAACAGGCGAGGGCACTGGAATAAGGGCAGCATCCAAGAGAAGATCAAGGTTAAAGGAAACCTCCATAGGAGCAACATAAGACCCCGCCACTGAAAAGGAGAAGTAGGGATAGTGTCCGAGTCGGAAGGCAAGGAATACATCGAAGCCTTCTTACCCGATTGGGAGGAAGGCGAGGAGCCAGGTTTATGCTTCTGATGGAGAGAGGGGCATGTTATCAGCATATACTTTGTGGCCGCCTCTAGTTTCAACAGGAGAAAGAACGGGAAACACGAACACCGGGGAGGAGGATGGACAATGGCCTGAACAGACAGGCAGTGAGGAGAACCAAGAGTGAAGGCACAGGAGACTATGAAGACCAAGAAGGAATGAAACACCAGACAGAACCAGGAGGACCCTCTGGCCCAGAACGCAAAGGACCAGACGAATTGGTGTCTGGTACCCAAGGCCTCAAGACTGTTGCAAAACTGAGAAAGCGGGAGAGAAGGGGAACGCAACACTAGAATTAGACGTGCCAGAGCGAGAGGTTAGACGGCAAACCTAGCCTCAGGAAAAGGCAAATTATTACGAAGCTTTAAATCGAGGTTGGCTTCCTCAAATTTGTAGTGCATGGGAGAAGAATGTGAACGTCACCACAATGATGCAGAGTTTGAGAAAAAGTGCATCCATCTTGGAATGACCCGAGGTTCCACACAGGGGGGCAGAGATATTTCACTTGTGAACCTTTAGGGACCATTCCCCCGATCTCCAGCACCTGCTGCAGAGACAAGGAGAGGGGGGATGTATTCCTGAACGGAGCATCTGGCACCAGCGGGAATGACTTAAGCGGGAAGGGACTTTTACCATAAAAAACGTGACTATCACAATGCGAAGAGGCTGATGGCAACGACCACGAGGGAGTCTAGTGAAGGTATCCACGTGGAGGACAGGATGGCCTTGGGCCTCAAGGATATAATTAACATCCTCGTGGCAATCGAAGTTTCCTGTCACTAATCTAAACGTGTTGCAGGAGAATTTTGCCAATTACAGGCCTTCAACGCCCCGCAATGGCCACCTTATGAACCGTCAGTCCGTCAAGATCGGGTTCAGCAACAAAGGCAAAGTTCGACAAAAGCATCTCCTTGCTCGCAACGTCGGGTACCACAGCTCTACAGATGAGTGCGCGCCTCCACAAACACCGGGGTGTCAAACCGAAGATGTCCGAAAGAATAAAAAATGGCAAAAGGTCGGCAGGAAATGAGAATTTGAAAGGCAAGGGGAGGAGAAGAAAAAAGATAAGAGGAAATAGCTTCTAGCAAAATTAGCGAAGATGACAGCAGGAGGACGACTTCAAAAGGACAAAAGACTGTCCCATGGAGCACGACACTTGGGCAGCCACCGACCAAGCCTCCTCATGACGACAACAGGCTGGAAAGGGACCATAGAGTAAAGACTAAACTAGCCACAATGCAGGTCTGAACACTTTTAGGGGTTTAAACCCGTGAGATTTTAACCTTAAGCACTCTTTGCAAGCACTTAGGCTAGTTTGTATCCTGGCCAGGGAGGATTGACCAGGTCCCAAGCCTTAACTGTAGCCTCTGTTCAAACCAGTAGGGAAGGGTTACCTGGTTAAATTATTTGCCTGGTTGTATTCTAGAGAAAATTAGGATTAAGGACTGTCCGAAATTCTATGCGTGCTTGTTTTACAAGCAAGAACTTTCATATAAATAAATGAAAAATAACCTATTGACCTGCCTGCCCTCCAGAGTAGTAAATGCTGAAGCAGGTGCTACAATTTAAACACGGCTATAAAGATTCTTTACTCTTTAGTGAAAGAGGGGGGGGGGCCCCGAAGGAACGAATTATCAGGGGAAAGCACCAAGCCATGATGACTATAGCACATGGAAAGTCAGGATAAGGACTTGGGATGGGACTGGGGGAAGGAATGGTGCCCAACCACTTGAATGGTCGGGAATTTAACGTCGACCTGCATCAAGGGAGACCATAGCTCTACCGTCCAGTAGAAGCCTCTGAAGTCGCCGGCTTCCTGTCCTTGTCGAGGCCAGGAGAGAAACCAAGATACATTAGACCGTTTAACACGTTAGAAAACTCTTTCGGGTAAATGAAGATAAAAGTTTATTTGATGCAATTTATTTTTCCCAGCTACACATTTAGGAATTATCAAAAATGCTCAAATTAAAATTACAAGACTAATGCCTGTCAGTACTTATTTAGGCCGGTAACTGCTGTTAACATATCACTGCCGTAGTTTGTGAAGGTAGTTCTATGGGTGTTAATATTTGTGAGTACCACCGTCGCTGTACACTTAAATAAAAATCATTAACACAGAAGCAACAGTAAATTACATCACTCAAGCACAAGTGCTTACACCTGAAGTGGCTATGGTGGTGTACGTGTACTGGCTAATGAAGTGTGGCCAAGGGTCACAGCCTAGTGACGTTCGTCATGATCCTGAAGTCAGACTTCACTTCAGTTAACGTCACGGATGCGGGCCGGACAAAAACTTCCATAGAACGATCCGGTCATCAATGGGAGCCTGTAGCACCTGTGTAGTAGAGGTAGAAATTTTTAGCGGCAGATATGCGTATTATGATCTTAATATGGCACAGTGTCACCGTAGACTTACCGAAAGAGTTCCAACGGCGACAGTCTGCTCTCCGAAGGAAATTAGAACGACTGCTACGCTGTTGAAGGTTTGGGCGGTGACAGTGATTCAACTGATAGTTTGGGGTGACATTAGGGGGAGGTTGAAGATATCGTCCACCTCCAGACATAAGAGGCCAATAGGTCAGACAAAACTTCCAGCAGCTACCCACTGCAATCCACGGGATGGTCCCATGGCCCAATCTGCCACAGTCCATTATAGTATCTGGACCACTGAATACCTTGTCAGGACCTGGACCACCAAGATCACCCTGGCCAACGAATGCAAATTCACCACGAAAGCCTTGGGGTAAGAATTTCAGGAACAATGTTTCAGCGGCGCTGCTCAGAGCTTAAGAGTCGGGCCCCTGCCAGAACCTTTCAGGATGAAGGCATCGCTACTACAGCGTTTAATTCAGGTAGTGGGCCACCCGCATCTCTGAAAACTTGCCAAGAGCAACCGACACATCCAAGTTATGAAGATCAGGATCCTGCAAGAAAAATTAGTTTAACTTTTAGACTTTACAATCATTAATACATTTTAGCCAATATAGATCTACTTTCAAAATATTGTCAAGATTTGAACTAAAATATCCAAGGACTGGATGCCAAAACCCATACCTGCAGAAATTGGCTAGTCATTCCAGCTACGTGAAACACAAAGCTCTTTATTGAAGACCTTAGAAACTGAATCTGCAATAAGTATGTAAAGATTTAAACCTTTGCATAGCCTGTCATACTAATAACTATGCACAATTAGAAATACACTACGTAACGAAATAGCATTTAAAAACATACGTATTAGTGACAATAGTATCAATATGAAATTGACATTTAGCATTACAGATAGAAATTTTACATTGTTACAAATTTGGTTTATGTAGGTGTATAATCGTGAAGTTTGAAAGATTCGGCCATTAAATTATTAGAAACGAGGCTAGAATAGTTTAGTATAATGCAGTTACCAAATTATGGTTATTATAATTAAACAAGTTTAGGTTCGTTATTTCAATATAATACAAAGTTCCAGGGTCCTTTTAGTTACACGAAGGGTCCTTTTAGTTACACGAAGGCATCTTTAAATGTTAAGTGTTTAACAAGTGGCAAACTACCTGGTTTCAGGCACGTTAAAAGTTTCAGGTATGTGACCTTTAAAAAAAAAAAAATATACGTAAATGTTCAAGATATTTAGTAATTGGTACATTGTTATAGGAAATGTTATTTCTAACTTATTAAATGTATTAGTCATGATATTATTAGTCTTAAGAATTCAAGGGTATTCATTTCATAGGAGGAAGTCAACAATACATGTTTATTTAAAACAAGCACTTTACACCTCATCTAAGCATCTACCCAGATCTAAAACTACGACTAGCACTTTAAACCAACGTTAAAATACACATTACCGTAATATATAAAGACCTTGAGCCAGACGATGTTACTGGAGTGAAGGTGAGGAGGAGAGTGAGGAACTGGGCCCCACCTGCCCGCCTCAACACCTCCCTCACACCCTCCTCATGGTCGCTGCCTCTCATAATACACCCCTTCTTTACCCCAGTATTTACACACTCACTCGTAATCCTCTAACACTCTTTGTTTCCCTAAAGTTAACATTGTATTAGTAGTTAGTATATTTATTGTGGCACAACAGAACCTAACTGCTGGTGAGAACGAGGCAAAGTGACCATTATGGACCCGTAAGTGATACTCAGTGGCTTAGCACAGTCTTCCCACACACGCCCCAACACCCAGTGGGACAGGTGGTCCTTGGGTCGTCTAGAGTTTCCCTCAGCCTCAAGTTCTTATACTTTCAGTAAATAATCTTACGTTTCTCTGGACGGAGCCGCTTGGGGGAACTCGGGATGGGAGAATATTCCTTTATATGTCACTGAAAGCATAATAAAATACACTTTTTATTGTATATAGCGTAATTCTTATATTTTATTTAATTGTATATTTTTTGTTTATAGCGTAATATGTACACTCGAGGAAAAGCATTCCTTTACCCCCAGTTTCTTGTAAAGTGCAAAGTGGCAACGTTGCATTTGTTTCTGTCGTAGTATTGGCTTAGATTATGAATGACTCGGCGCTTTGTAACGACGAGTCTCATTCGTCAAAACTCCACTCATTTGTTTACATAATTCTCTCTGCCATCTATAGTAAAATATAATGCGGCAACTAACAAAAAAGAATACATTTAGAGTTGTGACCAAGGGAGATGGCCCTACACTTGTGCTTATCAGTTTATTGACCTTTCATGTAAGCGATATAACGTATAACAGTGTTAAGTACTGGCATTAGGCTGTTGAGGCAGAGACGACGTGACGTCACACATAACGCATCCTGGATCGTCGTTGATCGTCAGTTAACAACACACGATCGTTCTTTTTTCCTAGTTAAACATTGTTTGCAAACATTTACATTTGCGAATATAGTTTATATACTACATGAGCTTACTTATGATCGGTCTCGAACCCATTATTGATGTGACGATGTGCACTGAATTTTGTAACTAGCTCATTAACACTAACTTGTTTAGTTAAATGAATTTTGGCCTTCAGTCTCTGAGCCCGTTATGTTCCCTCTAACCCTTTCCACTATCTCCCACAGGATGGTTATGGGGTGCATAATAAATTAACTAAACTAGATGATATACTTGAAACAAATATTGGTATAAAGAACAAATTATACATCAGTATCAGAAATAGAAAGGAGAATTAGAAAGTATTATAATTCATTATCATTTAATATTACTGACAGCTGGAAAACAAAGCGGAATGATTAGGGACTAGGTGACGTGTATTTGATTCCTGAGAACAACTATTATTAAATTAATTAATTAGGTAGTTAAGTACATTACGTAATAGTATGCAGAGTTGGCCAAATAAGAGAGAGGGGGGAGGGGGGAAAGCTTTGAACGAAAAATTGGAGACTGCTACGAAG